GCCAAGAACGCAATGTCTTTTGATATGGTAGATTACGCCCGGCAAGCAGTCGACCTCTACCTGTCGTTGACAGGTTCTAAGAAGCTTAAGAACGTTCCGACACCCTTTTGCCCAGAGGGGTCGCTGCCGCNNCATCTGATGATGAAGTCACAGGTGAGCCTGCGCACACCGCTTGTAAGTGGGGTGGCTGTCGCACCCAGACATCATGAGATCCATTGGTGACTGAGCGACGTGTGTGCACAAGTGGGCCCACAACAAGGATCGCCAGGCACACCGCTTCATGTGCTACATGGACAGCACCAAGCATCACCGCCTTGTGGGGCACGTCAACGACGGCCCAGATGATCTCCAAGTTGCCTTTGTATACAAATGCAGACTTCGCCAGCGAGAAGGCTCACGCACGCAACACCTCCAGGGGGGTACCTAGTGCTGTCGGGTCCTACTACGTTCTTCCCTTCAGCTTGGGTTAGTAAGCGCCACACTGCAACGTCCAGATCCACTACGGAATCTGAGATCGTGTCCTTGGCCCACTCACTTTACAGTGAGTGACTCCCAGCGCTAAGTAACGTCTATGGGATACGCTTCTTCCCAGAATCGCCCAGCACCAGTGAGGGCTTGAAGGCTGTTTTAAAGCTGGGGGAAAATACTATGGAGCTTTTGAGGTAGAATTCCTTAGAGGAGGTTTTTGGGAACCATAAAGAGAGAACGGATGGCTTACCATGAACCTTTTTGGGGACCATAAAGAGAGAACGGATGGCTTTCCATGAACCTATATCATCAGAACTCATAACTTAGAGCACTTGAAGTTTCAGGGGGCTGTGTATGTAGGTGAGAAGTGGGATTATCAGTTCCGGACACTCGCTGCAGGGGTGTCATGTCTTTGGGAGTTTCGAGTTTGTTGTTTTTGGGCGTGAACAGTTTTGGGTTTTTTTCTGATATTTCTAAAGTGAAGAGCTTTCTTTCTCTATGGATTTCTGTCTTTTGGGTGTTAGGGTCTCGAGTGTAGGGTTGAAGGTTTAGGTTCGATTCCTCCACGGTTACGGGTTTAGTGTTGGCTTCAGAGCTGCAGAGTTATGGGGCTTGTGGGGAATATGGGGATTAGGCTGAGGGCTGCACTTTGTGGGTGAGGGAGGTCTCTTCCCACAATCTTCTCTTCATCTAAAATGTATTCCACATTTTCCCCAGGCCTTGGTTTGTTTAAGTATTTACATTGTATAAAGTATTTACTTGGGGGGGCCGGAAGTAACAAAATTAGATAAGACTTTAAACAATGTAAATCCCAGGCCGCCCTCCAGGGTCCGTCTCCCACTCCCCGGGATTTAAATTACACAAATTGTGTTATTGTGGGGCTACGCACAATCAACTTAAAGAGGCTCGTGATGTCTCGTGCTTGCCTGCCAGCTCGCCTATCTGCTGTCCAGGTTTCAGATGTATCTTTCTGTTTATTTGGGAAACATGACACCGACAACCCTGAAGGCTTATGACCTATCCTAAACTTTAAACTTTAGCCTAAACCTTGTAGTAGAGCCTGCAAACCCGAAACTAGAGCCATAAACCTTATAAGCCCTAAAACCCTAAAGCCCGACACTATAACTCTAAAGCCCGAAACCCTGAACCCCCTCCCTATCCCTTCTGCACACAACTTCTGTGGAGGTCGCCGAAGTGCGGGCAGGGGCGACCCTGCTTCCCAGCCGCAAGTTTGCGATCGGCTTGGGCCCTTTAGGGTTTAGGGTATAGGGTTTAGGGCTTGAACTCAGACTTGTGAGGTGCTGCTACGTGCTAAAACTGTCTGTTTACAAATCGAGAGGGGCCGAAACCGTGTTCCTGGCCACTTTCGAGCCCGAAGCAAACCCCAACTCCTGAACCCTAAACCCTGAACCCTAAACCCTAAACCCCAAACCCTGAACCCTAAACCCTAAAGGCCCTAAAGGCCCTAAATCCTGAACCCTAAACCCCTCATCTCCAATCGAAACTGAGCCCGGTTGCTGGCTGAAGCCCCGACAGTCTGACTGGAAAAGCATGAGCCTTTGTAAGCCCAAGCCGGTTTAGGGTTTACCCCTAGGCTCCATGATAGTTCCTTTTTGTGGTGCCAATTTAGGATCCTATAAGGTGTTCCCAAAAAAGAACTACTACGGAGCCTATGGGTAGGGATAGAAGCTCCAACCTTATACTAAATCCCTGAACCTGCAGGTAGAGGTCTGAAATAGATCAGATAGAAACAGTGTACCTTCCTAGGCTCTGCGCGAGTATGAGTAAGTACGGTTCAGGGTTTAGGGTTTAGGGTTTAGGGTTCAGGGTTTAGTGTTTAGGGTTTAGGGTTACTCTGCACGAGTATGAGTAAGTATGCTCTAGCATACCCCGAAAAGGCGCCCTCTTCTCAACATGAAAGCCCGTATCCCCTAAACCCCCACAACTTGTTCTCTGGAGTTGCGGGTTGGGCTTCCGTTCAGGGTGCGGTTCTTATAAGGGTTTGCAGGTTTTATGTTTCGGATTGTAGGCATTTGGGTCTAGGATTTGGGTTTTAGGCTTCCGTTCATCGTTCCATGGCTGCTATATTATATAAGTTACTATTTGGGTTTTACAGGTTTCGAGCTAGGACTTTGGATTTTGAGTTTAGGTCTGGAGTTCTGGCGCAGGGCTGGTTCACCCGTGGTGTTTTTCTCCGCATTTGCTCCGCCATGGAAGCCGGGCAGTTCAAGGGGCAAGAAGTCGAAAGCTTCGAAACCCGACACCCGGAGTCCGCAAAACCCTTTAACCCTAAACCCTCAACCCTGAACCCTAAACCGTAACCCCGAAACCCCAAAAAACTCCGAGAACCTATCGACCCTATAATCGCTACACTGACACGCGTGCAGCCGCAAGTCCCGAAGCCGTCAACCCCGAATGCCACCCGGGGAAATCTGGAAACAGTCGAACCCCAAACCCAAACCCATCTAGACTCTATAACACTATACCTTAAACCTTAAACCCTATACACCTTAAGCCCTAAACCCTCTAAACTCTATAACACTATAACGGAATCCCTATAATTAAAACCTAAACCCCAAACTCGCAAACCCTGAACCCTAAACCCTCAAATCCTACACCCTAAACCCTAAACCCTAGACCCTAGACCCTAGACCCTAAACCCTAAACCCTAAACCTCAAACTCGCAAACCCTAAACCCTAAACCCTCAACCCTAAAGCCTAAACCCTAGACCCTAAACCCTAAACCCTAAACCCTACACCTTAAACCCTAAACCCTCAAATCCTACATCCAAGCCGAGGCTCTTCGACTCGGTTCCAGAGTCGGAGGAGAAGGACAGCGTCAAAGTCAGAGAGGGGTTTAGGGATTCAGGGTTTAGGGATTTAGGGTTTTAGGGTTTAGGGTTTTAGGGTTTACGTGTTTAGGGGTTTAGGGATTTAGGGTTTCAGGATTTCAGGGTTTAGGGTTTAGGTGTTTAGGGGTCTAGGGTTTAGGGTTTAGGCAGGGGTTTAGGGATTCAGGGTTGAGGGTTTAGGGGTTTAGGGTTTCAGGGTTTAGGGTTTTTGGGTTTAGGTGTTTAGGGGTCTAGGGTTTCAGGGTTTGGGTATAGGGTTTGGGTTTTTTCAGGTTTTAGGGTTCAGGGGTTTAAGGTTTGAGGGTTTAGGGTTTTAGGGTTTGGGTTTAGGGTTTCAGGGTTTATTGTTTAGGTAATTGGTTTAGGGTTTCAGGGTTTAAGGTTTAGGGTTTGGGTTTGAGGGTGGGGCTTTTCTTGGTCATAGTTGGGTAACATTTTACAATTTTCATGGGTACCCCTTCGATGCCCTAAACCCTAAACCCTAAACCCTAAACCCTAAACCCTAACCCTAAACCCTAAACCCCGACGAGTGTCGTTGCCTTACGGGGCGCCCGGCCGCTCTCGAGAGGCTCTCGACGCTTGGGCACTCGAGACCGCCGACCCCACCGCAGATCCTGCCAGATCAGACCCAGAGACTTAAATTATAGTAGTTTTTGGGTTTAGGGTTATACATGTCCACTCGTGGGTTGGGTTCAGTTCCTGCTTAGCTCTTGCGGGCGGCCGGGGCCTTCCCCACGCCTAGCCCGGGGTTGATTAGCTTGATGTTGGGATAGGCATGGTGGCTGCAGAAAACGGGTTGATGATTAGATTGGTGTGATCACCCCCAAGTAATGGGCAAATGTACCTGGCACCGGATTGCGAAAAAAAACGATGCCAATCATTTGGATGTGCTTGTTCGTTTTTTCGAAACGATAAATCATTTTGGGGTCGGACCCATATTATATGCTCATGGTTTCGCAGCATGTGCCTCTCACCAACACTTCGAGCAACAAAAATCCACAAGGCATGCAAGATGAAAATTCAGGTGATTATGACATGACTCAGAATAATCCGAGAGCACTAAATGATTATTTTGGATTCACACTTAAAGACAAACTGCACAAGAACATTTGCATGTCTCACATCTACGATTGGATCGCCGAGCATTTCTGAGTCATCTGAATCGAACATTGGCTATATACTCAGCATATAAACTACTGACATATCCATGTTGTGGTGAAGTGGCCTTGATGCATGCGTGGCCTGCGGGGAGATGGCTGCGAAATTAATTCGTTTGCTTCAGCTGGCCAAATTGTGCGAGATTGCTGATGATCGCTTCACGTTGGCGTTGTCTGAGCCAGAGATCCTTCGCTGCAATCTTGTTTGGGGTCAGTGAGCGTGAGCCTTGTATTAGTGAGAGCATCTTTGCGCTGTTTGTGTCTGCAGCCTTGTGATTTTGCATGTTGCCAGCAGCCTCAGGTGGGTGTCGTTCTTAGGGTCCTTGCAGAGCATGTCGGCCACGTCCAAGCCAAGTGCCTTGCAGAAGCATGGGTCACAGATTTGGAGAAGCATGAAGACAGCGGCTGAGGCAGGATTATTCTGCGTATGGTATAGTTAAAAACAGTTATAAGCTATAAGCAAGTTTGTTTTGATTGAAATCAACATCAACATCAGGAGGATAAGGAAAACATCAGTGATTCGATGCATGTGCGAGCATCGGGCGGCGTGGTTCTTTATTCGGTTGCTATGATAGCGTACCTGCCTGCAGCTGGTGTATCATCAGCACAGGTCGATGCTATGATTCAGCGAGAGATAAACCGTAGACAGAAGAAGAACGAATTGCCGGTCGATTGCACTGAAAACGTCCATGTCGGCGACAATGCAGGCGGTCGGACAACAATACTGGTCCCGATAGCCCAGCCTTCTGTGTCTGAGTCCCAGGAGAGCAACAAAGATGCTTGGCGAAGCACACGGATCGGCTGGAAGACGTGCCAAGGATCATTGGATACATGCCACCGCAGTTTCCTTATCAAGAAAATCGAAGATCTACAAGAAAACCTCAAGAACACAAAAGCAGAGCTGGCTGTAGCCAGACGGACAGTACACAAAACCGTCAAACGCCAGAAGAAGCTGGAAGTCCAGTTGCAGCATGACACGAAGGAAACGAATGAGGCAATCCTCACCATACAAAAGCACCAGAAGAAGGGGCATGATGATGGGGATGAAGGGCGATCAGGAAGATTCACGACTCGTGGTTTTATCGCTCTCGGCATTCGCAAGGCACTGGCCCATACATCGGCAGTTGCATTTCCACTTGCTGCACTGGTTGATGTGTCGCGACAAACTGTGACGCGAGCGGAGAACGCCACTTGGTCTATGTTGGTTGCACGGACTGGGTCGCTCCATGCTCAGATGCGTCAAAAGATGCGACAGTTGGCTAGTGTCATGGCAGACATGCGTGCGAAGCATGACAATAACATGCATGCCGGCAGTAGAGATGGGCAGCCTGTGGCTGCTTGTTCGGTGTTGGTGCAGGCGTCGTGCGGTCAGGCTGACACACAAGTGGACGGAAGCCATGACACTATGGTCGATCAAGATTTAGGCCTGGAGTTTCGCCACGACATTGGAAAACCAATAACATCAAGCACTGCCGGATCATGGTTTGGATTGGGCCGGGGCCCGTGTGGTGGTTTCGAAATCGACCGCATGTTCTGTCTTGCAGGAACAGCCTTTGCTGGAGACGCAACCAGCTCTGGAATTTGGAGGAGAAGCAAATTGCAGGGTTTATTCTTGACATCTGTGTGCATGACAGATTCCAAGCAGCTTGAAAGTGACACTGAGTACCTCAAAGCCTTCACCTTTCATACTACAGTGTGACTCGACAGGCAGTTGCATCTACTTATAGTCGTGGTGCGGCGGCGGTCGTAAGATATTGAGATATTGATTTGCACAGAATGGTTAGTAGATTCAAAGAATGAACAGTGTAACACATATGCTGATGTGAGGTGCGATTTGCAAGTCGTTACTTCTGGCACAGCGGCAAACAACATGGCCATTGTGCTTAAGCAGTTGCGTACATCCAAGTGTGCAAACTGGGACGAGCTTGCAACCATGCGGGAGATCCTTGCCGGCAGATATACTATTATCATGTCTGTTGTGACTGTGCCTGTTGTGAGTCGTGAGTTGTGAGTTTTGTGAGTTGTGAATCGAAAATTACGCAGTTTGTTGATTTGCATGGTCAGCGTCTGCATGTGCATTGTGCCACGTCAGCCTGCGAGTGAGTCTTTGAGTCATTCTGAGCTTCTCCGATCACGTGCAGTGTGTAGAGCAGCGTTGTACAGTTGCACAGACTGAAATTGCGAGAGTGTGAGTGCTCGCAGCGCAGCTTGATCGCTTGGACCGCATTCTCCGCATGACAGCATGTGTCATGAGTCTGAGTGCGAGCCGAATGCAGTTTGCAAGTGATCTTGGAGCTTCTTTGGATGCCTTGAGTGTCGTTGAGTTGAGTTGTTGTTGAGTCGAGCCAGCGAGTGCGCAGTGTCAACATGCATCATGAGTTCAAACTGTGTGTGTTTTGAAACCTTCGCACTTGATCTTGTGGGATGGGTAAGTTGGGGGGGTTT